TGTACAGGATCGTACTTGCCTTGATATCATTGAAGGGCTCTTGATCCAAGAAATTAATGTTTCCCTTCCTTTCCTCGGATCAAACTTGATTTCCTTCCATTATAAAGGCTCAATTTGACTCTTTTTAAGTTAAAGGATTCTCATAATAATAACAATTAATAATAATAATAAAACAGTGCTTCACTGGGAGTAGAGCTCAAGTTCCCGGACCCATATTTTAACCCCTAATAGACTAGCATAATCGTTTCTGATCCTCTTGACTGTTGCCACTGTGTGGGCGAAACGTCCTCGTTAAAAAGGATCCCCACTAATAAGTCTCGTTTACTCCACCTCGTTGGTTTTCCCTTCCTTCTCCAATAGTTTCTTAACTGGTCCTTCAAAAAGCTACACCTTTCCCAGATCCTTCAAAAAAACCACACCATTTCCAGATCCTTTAAAGAACCACACCATTCCCAGTTCTTTCAAAGAACCACACCATTTCCGGTTCCTTTAAAGAACCACACCATTTCCGGTTCCTTTAAAGAACCACACCATTTCTAGTTCCCTCTATGAACCACACCATTTCTAGTTCCTTCAAAGAACCACACCATTTCTAGTTCCTTCAAAGAACCACACCATTTCCAGTTCCCTCAAAGAACCACACCTTTTCCAGTTCCCTCAAAGAACCACAACATTTCCAGTTCCCTCAAAGAACCACAACATTTCCAGTTCCCTCAAAGAACCACAACATCTCCAGATCCCTCAAAGAACCACAACATCTCCAGATCCCTCAAAGAACCACAACATTTCCAGTTCCCTCAAAGAACCATAACATTTCCAGTTCCCTCAAAGAACCACAACATTTCCAGTTCCTCAATAAACCCACAACATTTCCAGTTCCCTCAAAGAACCACAACATTTCCAGTTCCCTCAAAGAACCACAACATTTCCAGTTCCCTCAAAGAACCATAACATTTCCAGTTCCCTCAAAGAACCACAACATTTCCAGTTCCCTCAAAGAACCACAACATTTCCGGTTCCCTCAAAGAACCACAACATTTCCTTCAAGAACGTAAATCAATCAACATTTCGAGTTTTTTTATCCATCTAACCAAAAAGTTATTAACATTAAAAAAAAAAGTAAGTTTTGGAGGTGTCGACATAGTGCCAGCAAGTAGAGGTATGGGGGGGAGGGCAACGTTTCACTGAGCGAAATGTTCTCCGGATAAAAACGTGTTCTGAATACTCTACACCCGCAGCATTCACTTCAGCATGAATTCGTGAGAATGATATCAAGAATCTGTTATCTCTGTGTAAAAAGCTGAAATAGTTTAAGCAACCAAGCAAGCAAGCAAGCAAGCAAGCAATTAGATGGTAGATAAGCAACTTTGTTTTGATGCCGTCTTTTTACGCTGAAGACCAAGAAAATTAATATACTGCAAGCAGTGGACTCATTTTTTTTGAAAAAAGGATATGCATTTGCATACTATACAGGTATACAGTGGTAACGTTGGTAATGCTTATTACCTGGAGAGGGTTTCGGGGGTCGACGCCCCCGCGGCTCGGTAGTAATAATAATAATAATCTTTTTTTTTTTACAAGTACATTTATATGGTATACAGACCATAATTAACATCAGTGACATACTCCTATATAGAAAGTCCCTTGTTATGTGGAGCATGTCTGGCAAATTAGGTCAGTTTTGTCCCAGGATGCGACCCACACCAGTCTACTAACACCCAGGTACCTATTTTACTGATGGGTGAACAACGGACAGTAGGGTCTAATTTTTCCACCCGTACTGGGGATCGACCCCCGGACCTCAGTGTGTGTGAGCTGAGTGCGCTACGGGACATAAGGCAATTAATAACGTTAACAATGTTAATAGTGAAAGTATAAGGTGAGTGACGACGTTGATCGCATAAGGAAAGTGGCAACGTTAGTAATGTTTATGACGGACGTATAAGGTAAGTAATCAGGAGGGTAAGCGTCGCTAGTAGCGCCGCTGGTCACCGCTAGATGGCAGGACGGGTCTGAAAGTTCACTCGCCTTCTTCCACTGCCTCTACTATTGGCTCCTGGCGCAATCCACTCCGCCAATCAGCGCCGCCCTCGACCATCGCACGCTGCGGGAAAGTTGCTTTCTTCAACACTTCAAGCATGGGGGGAAAATATTATCCGACGTTTCGCCCCCAGTGTGGATGAAACGTATCTGGTACAGCCCCACTGTGGAAGAAACGTACTTGATAAAGCCTTGACTGTGCTTTTATCAAGAACAATAAAACAACGAGTTTTCCTCCTTAAAATGCTCTCAAATCATCACTTTCTGCCGTAAGCCACCTTTTGCCTTTTAAGAAAACACGCTACGGCCTGTTCATAAGAAATATCTAATTGGAGGCCTGTGGAAAAGGCCTCCTAGTAGCTCATAGCCCTATGGCAAGCTGGACAGAGTTAATCAGGTCACGTCATAGGCTCTCAAGCCTCAGACGGAAGAGTTTAAAAGAAAAAAAGAATATCTGAGGTCTGTGTCACACAGGACAACAGAGGGGAAAAAAGTCTGGGCCGGTGACTGTGCTATTGATTCAGCCATTACCTTAGCTGACGATCATATTGTATAGGTGGCCCCTTTCTTCATGCCTGGCCCGTGAGTGGACCTTTGTGGCCCTTGTTTAGTGGCCACACTGGTCACTTTCACGTTAATGTTTTGTAATGTACTGTCTTGTTTGTTTGTATGTTTCACTGTCTTAATCTCTCCATAACTTCCGTTCTCCCCTACTCCCTTCCACTGTTCCCCCCCTTCCTTCATTCCTTCCCCTTTCTCCCTTCCCCTCATTCCCTCGCTCTCCCTCCCTTCCTCTTCCACCCTCCCCCCCCCCTTACATTGAAACTATTAATATTTAAACTATGTAATGAGTTTTTGGATTTCGTGTTTGCAGAAATCCTTAGTCGCTGTGTTGGTCAACCTACGTCACTGTTCCTGTTGGGTTTTCCTATCTTTCTACTCTTCCTCCTCTTCGTTTCCCCCTTCTCCCCTTCTTCCTTCTCCTCCTTTCCTTCCTCTTCTCATTTCTCCCCTCTCTTCACCCATTTCCTCTTCCACCTCCTTGTTTTTTTTCCTTCTTTAACATCATATTTGTCACTACTACCCCCTACTCTCTCTCTCTCTCTCTCTCTCTCTCTCTCTCTCTCTCCCTCTCTCTCAACGAGTCGAGATTCAAGCGTATAAATAAGAAAAATACGCACTTTAAAAGTTCGTCATCTTGCTACACCGTAAACATAGGCTTTCGTAGCCCAATACTAGATGTCGTTGCTGTTCTGTCTGATCTTCTCAGTTATCCATTTCTGCTGGCGTTGTTTCTAGGTTATATTGCGCGTTATTCGTATTGCTGCGCATTTCCTAAGTCGTATTATGCGTTAATTGAATTATTTTTTCGCGCACGTTACCTGGGGTCTTTTTTTTTAAGAGTAACTATGTTCCCTTTAGTTGAGGAATGTGAGTGAACAGACGTGATAACAGCATTCTGCAGCGCTGTTCATCCTGAGTGAAATATTGCTGTGAAGGTAATGTTGGGCAGTGCCACTCACCCTGCGAGCGATTATGACACCATTAACACAGTGCTGGGCAGTGCCACTCACCCTGCAATTGAATATGGCACTATTAACACAGAATTGGGCAGTGCCACTTGGCCTTTGAGTGAATATGCCACCATTAAGGCACATGGGCAACATTTGAGTGTCTTTCTTACTGAAACGTTTCGCCCATACTTGATTCTTCAGTTGAGTTCAAGAGATTAACTCACCGGAGGCAGTACAAGCACTTTTCAAGTGATAAGTCCGGCAGCAGTTGTTCATATGTCCCATTCTCATGTGTCTTATTCTCCTGTGTCTTATTCTCCTGTGTCTTATTCTCATGTGTCTTATTCTCTTGTGTCTTATTCTCATGAATAAATAACAAAAAGGCACAATACCGTGACTGGAACAATACACAAATAACCCGCACATAAAAGAGAGAAGCTTACGACGACGTTTCGGTCCGATTTGGACCATTGACAAAGTCAATGTGTGTTGTGTGTCTTATTCTCATGTGTCTTATTCTCCTGTGTCTTATTCTCCTGTATCTTATTCTCATGTGTCTTATTCTCATGTGCCCCATTCTTATGTCTCTTATTTTCATGTGTCTTATTCTCATGTGTTAGATTTTCATGTCTTATTCTCATGTGTCAGATTTTCATGTGTCTTATTCTCATGTGTCTTATTCATCAACTTGTCCCCCTTTCTATGTCATAAACAATATTCCATCATTAAATAATATTACTTAGTACTACTAATCCTGGTAGTGCTAGGTTGATAGTATTATCTCTCTCTCTCTCTCTCTCTCTCTCTCTCTCTCTCTCTCTCTCTCTCTCTCTCTCTCTCTCTCTCTCCCCTTTCTCTCTCTCTGTTGAGCTAATTCTGCATCTCCGTAACGCCATCTCGTAACGATGTCCAGTAGATCAATATTTAATTCAGAAACAAAAGAAGGAATGTTTGATGCGGAAGGCATCTTAGTGTTGAAGTTAATTGTTTGTGTTTACCTTTAAAAAAAAAAAAAGTCTGTTACCACTGATACAGAAAAAAATATAAAGAATTAGGAAGCGAAAAAATTAATTATTTGAAATTCGTGGAGTTAGCTTATTTACATGAGTTGGTCGAGGGACTGATTACTCCGTCTGACCGGTCCCAGGTCAGGCTTCCTAACTGATGGCCTCATCAGTTAGGCTCTTGGTCAAGAAACTGCTGATAATAAATAAATGCTCGTTTCTTTATTATTATTTTTATCACTATTATTATTATAGCAGGTTACTACTTTTGTTTATAGGCGTACATAAAATTGTACAGCTCAGAGTGTGTCGGGTGGCGATTAATTTTATTCTAGCATGAACGTCAACATAATATCATCATTGATGATTTTATTGCTCTCCCACGTAGGCGAATATAGTATGTGTCTAGCAGTGGGTTAACGTTACTGTTTTTCCTACACAGGTGAACGACCCTACAAATGCCACATTCCGGACTGCGGGCGAGCCTTCATTCAGCTGTCTAACCTGCAGCAGCATCTGAGAAATCATGATGCGCAGCTCGAGCGCATGAAGAACCGGCCGTTCCACTGCAACATCTGCGGCAAAGGCTTCGCCACCGAGAGTTCCCTTAGGACTCACACATCTAAGGTATGACAAAGCTGAGACATCTTTCACATCCTTCTCTTATTCCTCATTCCTCTCATTCCCCACGAGCGTTATTCAAGTGCTTCCCTTTCTCAGTAGTCAGCCTTAGTAAGTAGGTAAGTTTATTTAGGTACAGGTACACTTAAGTACAATTATCATAGTGTAAATTAGATAGGATAACCCAAAAAAAAGTCAAAGTGACTTATTACCATTGGGTTCCTTAGGTTAGGTTAAGTTAGGTTAAGTTAGGTAAGGTAAAGTTTGTCAGGAAACAGGACAAATGTTTCTTGACGCGGGTGTTAGTCATATGATGACCCACAGCGGGAGTTTTAGGGGATCTAACCGAGGCTTACCCGTCCACCCCGTTAAAAATTATGGATATGATTATAACCCTTAGGAACTGGTGTGAACTGTAATACACCTCAGCCTTATCCTTACTCTTATACACCCGGAAAAACCTCGATAGTATTACCACCTCAAACTATGCAGTCTTGGAAAGGCTAAGATCAGCAGGCATACTGTAGAGTGATTAAGGTTTAAATTGCAACAGATGTTACCGCACCTGCTGAAGCGGCCATTGCCTACGTCATTATTTCGAGGATGGCTGTTTAATGTGACCTTCCCTCATGTCACCTGTCTTTAAAGGCAGCCATAAAGAACCTAACTAAGGTCTTTATAGTCGCCCGATAAACTTTCATGTTCCTAATAATTAGGCCGGGACGACCACTCTGATATTATTGTCACGAGAGAGTTTAGTTTCTGGATCACATGTATCATATCGTAGAAGTTTATAAATAAGATAACGCTAGAAACTGCTATATTTAATAAGAAAACTCTAGGAATTCTATATTTAACCGGGAATCAGTCGTATAGACAGATGTTTAAGTAGTTTAATGTGAGCAAAATTTGTTTTTTTTTTTTTAATATAGTTGAAATATATTTTATTTATAGTTTCAGTATTAAATGGACCTGCTACCATTCAAGACCACAGTTCGAATCCCCGTTCATTCCTCTATTCATAAGATGTTTTATTTACAGTAGCAGCTAGTTTATTTTTGAAAGTTGACGTATGACCCTGTATTCGCCCTTCCCAGCCTACCTCACTACCTATCAGTAAGGTGACTTGCTTTTGGCTTTCCACTATGTGGAGGTCAGATTTTTTACTGAGGCTAGCAACTACAGAAGACCCATTTGCACCACCAACTGGTGGTGCTGCAGCTTGGTGCTCTGATCGAGAGCCATTTGCACCACCGGCTGGTGGCGCTGCAGCTGGTGCTCAAGGTAAAGACTATTTGCTTCACCGGCTGGTGGTGGTGCTGCTGCTGGTGATGCTCGGGACGAGAACCATCCGCACCAGTAACTGTTGCTCGTCAATAGGAGGGTGGTAGCTCCGTCTGTGTTAGGTTTGAATGATTCCTGGATTACTTATACTGGCTTCTATGATTAGTATGATAATGTCATTGAATGTGTTAATGTGGTAGGACGTGAGTGTGATATCCTGCCTCTGAGTGATGGAATCTGGCCACTTGAGGAATACTTATTGTAGTGAGAGAGTTTTGGATTTATGATAAACAGCTTGATCTATTAAGTGTTTTGGTAAGTAGTTGGTGTGAGGCATTTTGGTCCTAGATGTCTGTGTGGTAGGTGTGAGAGGTGTGCTGTGAGGGGTGGTGTGTTGTGAGGGGGTGGTGTGTTGTGTGGGGTGGTGTGTTGTGAGGTACGAGGCAGGACAGTGGGCTTCACCCGTGTGGTCTCTCTCCCACAGCACGCGGCCCTGGTCGGCGGCCCCAACGCTGTCAATTGTCCTCAGTGCCAGAAATTGTTCATGAATGGCGAGCAGCTGATGGAACACATGAAGTATACGCATAGGGACCCTAACGCCTCGGGAGTGGCAGGTTAGTTGACGTCCTCATACTATTGTTTATTGTTGTCTTCACACAGCACGCCATCCACATCGGTGGCCCAAGCGCCGTCCACTGCCCCCACTGCGACAAGTACTTCATGAGTGGAGAGCAGCTTATGGAACATATGAAGGTGGTACACAGGGACCCCAATGCCTCAGGCGTCGGAGGTAAAGTGGGCCTCCGTGGACAGACGGCCTCCAACCCTTAAACTAATCCCCTTGATGGTCATATATCTGATATACCTATTTATATGTATATGTAAATGAAATTTAATATATTACTGTAAATGTAATCGTCTTATGGTTAATATTTTGTATTGTAATCCTGTGCCAGATATTTTAAAGTATTGATATTTAGTGTTTAGCCTAGAAGTGAGGTATTGTTGACGCGGTATTGTTGTTGCAGCTAAGCGTCGTACGGCGTCGCACTCGTGTCCTGTATGCGGAAAACACTACGTTAACGAGGGCAGCTTGCGGAAACACCTGGCCTGCCACCCGGAGACCTCCCAGTTCACCTCCTCCCTCAGGATGTGGCCTTGCTCCGTCTGCCACGCCGTCTTTACCCACGAGTCAGGTTAGTGATGCACAGATAACCGTCACAAAATCTTTATCACAGTGTTTCGCTCTGGATAAAGCTTTATCAGGTTACACGGAGAGTTCGACTTCAGTTTCCAGCGATCACTCTACCTGGCATAGGGTCAACAGCTGCTAGAAGACAACACTGTAGCAGTTGTTTCTTGCCACGGCCCTACCAGAGGGCCAACAACTCTCCCTTCTCTTTCAGACGATTTTCTCTGGTGAATGCCATAACAACAGTCCCCTTTCTCTGACGGGTATAGTTCTCAATCCCGTCTTGAAGTGAGTGTAGTCACTCTTGGATGGAAGGAATGGATGGGTGGGAGGGGAGTGGGATGTCAATACACCTTCATACCGTGACCTGATTCTTAATGGTGGGTGTCACAACTGTTGACAGGAACTTGACTTCTGTAATCAAACTTATTTTGATTCACTCCAGGTATATACAGTAACTTGTATCTTTTTGATGGGTCACATTAGATTAACAGAACCTGTCTCGTGCTTGTGAGTTGTTAATCCTATTAACTGCCACCTATCTTCTACCTATTTTCCTTTTAAGAGGCCTGTCTATGGTCACTATATTTGTTAACAGAGAGCTATATCAAGTTTGTGGTCGCTATATTCATTAGCAGAGACCTGTATCCTGTTTGTGGTCACTATATTTATTAAGAGACCTGTATCCTGTTTGTGGTCACTATATTTGTTAACAGAGACCTGTATCCTGTTTGTGGTCACTATATTTGTTAACAGAGACCTGTATCCTGTTTGTGGTCACTATATTTGTTAACAGAGACCTGTATCCTGTTTGTGGTCACTATATTTGTTAACAGAGACCTGTATCCTGTTTGTGGTAACTATATTTATTAACAGAGGCCTCCTAAATCCGGCCTTTGATGAATAATAATATATGTTGACGTTACGTGATCCTGTCCCTGACAAATCTTTATCTCTCTCATGTCCTCTGAAATCAACATTTGCTGATGTCAACTTCACTAGATTCTTATTTTGTAATTCTGTCTCCTTTTCTTCTCTTCTTGTGTCTTCTAATGGCTGTGAATGTCCGAAAATACAAGTGTTTTTGTTTTCCTACAAACATACGGGCTAAATTAGGGCCTTTTTATTCTGAGTTAACGATATTTAATTCTGAACTTGAATTTCTCGAGGCGTGTGGTAAAAATTTTGATTTCTGAACACGATAAGCACTGATCCAGCTGCGGTAACAGCTGATCCAACTGCGATTATCTCTGCTCCAACTACAGTAACCACAGATCCAAATACAACCAGCGCTGATCCAACTACAGTCGTCGCTGATCCGACATCACCACTTTTAAGATTAGTGATCCTTCGGTGAATCTCTGCTCTGAATCATCACGAGACTGTGACGACTGTGACGACTGTTAATCACTTTACTATTGATAATATATCTGATTTTCTAAAACGCTGTATGACCCTTGTAGGTTCAGCGCTTCTTTTTGATAATAATAATAATAATAATATAATAATAATAATAATAATAATAACTTTGTCCTTGGAGGCAAAGAGGGGAATGTATGAGAGTATAGTTTTACCAACGCTCTTATATGGGTGTGAAGCGTGGGTGATGAATGTTGCAGCGAGGAGAAGGCTGGAGGCAGTGGAGATGTCATGTCTGAGGGCAATGTGTGGTGTGAATATAATGCAGAGAATTCGTAGTTTGGAAGTTAGGAGGAGGTGCGGGATTACCAAAACTGTTGTCCAGAGGGCTGAGAAAGGGTTGTTGAGGTGGTTCGGACATGTAGAGAGAATGGAGCGAAACAGAGTGACTTCAAGAGTGTATCAGTCTGTAGTGGAAGGAAGGCGGGGTAGGGGTTGGCCTAGGAAAGGTTGGAGGGAGGAGGTAAAGGAGGTTTTGTGTGCGAGGGGCTTGGACTTCCAGCAGGCATGCATGAGCGTGTTTGATAGGAGTGAATGGAGACAAATGGTTTTTAATACTTGACGTGCTGTTGGAGTGTGAGCAAAGTAACATTTATGAAGGGGTTCAGGGAAACCGGCAGGCCGGACTTGAGTCCTGGAGATGGGAAGTACAGTGCCTGCACTCTGAAGGAGGGGTGTTAATGTTGCAGTTTAAAAACTGTAGTGTAAAGCACCCTTCTGGCAAGACAGTGATGGAGTGAATGATGGTGAAAGTTTTTCTTTTTCGGGCCACACTGCCTTGGTGGGAATCGGCCAGTGTGATAATAAAAAATAATAATAATAATAATAATAATAATAATAATAATAATAATAATACCTTAAGCTACGATAAACTTTGTGAATTTTTTTTTACATAATTTCCTAAATGTAGAACATATTAATGAATAATACAATAATTGTATAATAAAATATGATGTTGCTTAAACCCTTCAGAAATTTTAAATGAAGGGGGGTGTGGAACAGCCAGTAGGGACGGGGGGGGTGGAACAGCCAGTAGGGACAGGGGGTGGAACAGCCAGTAGGGACGGGGGGTGGAACAGCCAGTAGGGACGGGGGGGTGGAACAGCCAGTAGGGACGGAGGGTGGAACAGCCAGTAGGGACGCGGGGGGTGTGGAACAGCCAGTAGGGACGAGGGAGTGGAACAGCCAGTAGGGACGGGGGGGTGGAACAGCCAGTAGGGACGGGGGGGTGGAACAGCCAGTAGGGACGGGGGGGTGGAACAGCCAGTAGGGACGCGGGGACGCTCCATTCTATTGACAATATACTATTGACTACTGACGATATACCTGGCTTTCTAAAACGACATTTTTTTTTCTATGACCTCCCAGCTATGAGGGAATTCCTTAAGCTACGATAAACTTTATCCAGGTTCGCCACATACAGTTTTTCAACATTTTCAAAATACATATTACCTGGGACAGTGATGAAATAAGACATTTATTTGGAAAATTAATGTTTGAAAATTTACACGGCAATGATTTGAGAGATAATTGATTTAATATGAGAAATGACTACCCTTTGCTTTTATAATTATTGGTACACAGTTTGGTATAGAAGCGAGCAATGTTGAGCACATTTTCTCTAGTTCTCCATCGTGGTACCTGGTCCTAATAACAGAAGCGAGCAATGTTGAGCACATTTTCTCTAGTTCTCCATCGTGGTACCTGGTCCTAATAACAGAAGCGACCAATGTTGAGCACATTTTCTCTAGTTCTCCATCGTGGTACCTGGTCCTAATAACAGAAGCGAGCAATGTTGAGCACTTTTCTCTAGTTCTCCATCGTGGTACCTGGTCCTAATAACAGAAGCGACCAATGTTGAGCACATTTTCTCTAGTTCTCCGTCGTGGTACCTGGTCCTGAGCACATTTTCTCTAGTTCTCCATCGTGGTACCTGGTCCTAATAACAGAAGCGAGCAATGTTGAGCACATTTTCTCTAGTTCTCCATCGTGGTACCTGGTCCTAATAACAGAAGCGAGCAATGTTGAGCACATTTTCTCTAGTTCTCCATCGTGGTACCTGGTCCTAATAACAGCAGCGAGCAATGTTGAGCACATTTTCTCTAGTTCTCCATCGTGGTACCTGGTCCTGAGCACATTTTCTCTAGTTCTCCATCGTGGTACCTGGTCCTAATAACAGCAGCATATAGCGTCTTCACAGTTAACACAGTTCTATTAAACGATCCTGGGTTTGGTTATTGCTCGTAGATTCTCAAATGGGTTGAGGTCAGAAGAGTTTCCAGGTTAATTTAGAACGCTTAGCCCACTCTCTTCTCGAAGAATGTCAGCATTTTTCTGGAAGTGTTGCATGGAGCAAGATCCTGCTGGAAAATGATTCTCCATCAGGAAATGAGTTGCCAGAATTACCTTGTATTTGTCACCGTTCATGGTTCCCTCAACAATAACAAGCCGTCCAGGGCCTTTAGCAGTAAAACTCCCCCCAAAATCTTAGGTAGGTGTTTTGGCGCTTGTTGAATGTGTCCATGAAGAAGAGGTTCGCCTTTGTTCCGTCTCACTACCACTGATCTGTACCCATGTACTTCAAAATACGCCTCATTTGAAAATATAAATTTTCTCCATTTATCTGTCGTCCATCCCTTATGATCGAGTGCCCACCGCAGCCATTTTTTCTTCATAGCAGCAGTCAATAATTTTTTTTACCGGCTATCTGGCAGTTTTGCTAACTTCAAGGAGCCAGATCTCTCTGTAGATCTTTGATGATTTTCTTGGAATTCTCATTATTTCTTATAACAGTTTTGTCATTGTGAGGTGTTTTCTTTGCATTTTCTTCATCACCAGTGTCATTAGCTCTCTTCAGAATCCGACCAACAGTTGACTTTGCTAGGCTTAAATTTTCTACGATCTGTCTGATACTCAAATTAGCATGTTTTCTGAAAGCTACAATACTTGCACGCTTCCTAGATGTAACATCCATCATGAATTTCAACAGTAATCATGAACTGAAGGGGAGAATTTGGAAAAACCACATTCACTCATGGAGCACGCTTGCAGGAACAGCCTTACAGAACAACAGCAGTTGAAGCACTGACGAGAGTCGCAGGCTAACACCACAGTTAGATGGTTGCCAAAAGTCGGTAGTAAACTCTTTTGAAGTGAAAAGAACCCAAACTACATTAATTAAACCAGAGACTAAGACAAATGAGATAAATCACAAAATTTACTCCTGTTCCAACTACTCTAGACACTACTGTGCTGTAGTAATTGTTAACGATTTACTGTGGCATCGAATTGTGAATACTGGATTAAAGATAATCCAAAAAAATAATATGGCATGTTTTATTTTGAGTGGTCAGTGCCTAATATTTTAAACCAGCGTTGTTTTTCAATAATAATAACAACAGCAAAATTTCAATTATATATTTTAACCAAACTGATGATATTCTGTTTAAGAAGATTGTTATAATTATTACAATTGTTATTACAATCACTGTTATTGTTACAGTTACTAATAACATTGGAATTACTGTTACAGTGGTCCCTCGTTTTTCGTAATTAATCCGTTCCTGGAGAAGCTACTAGAAACGAAATTTACAATTTACGAATCAATTTTCCCCATAAGAAATAATGTAAATACAATTAATCCGTTCCTGACACCCAGAAGTATTAAAACAAAAATTTTTTTTTACATGAAGTATACATGTAGTACATAAACAATACAATGGAAAATGATGAAACATTAACAGCATAACACTTACCTTTATTGGAGATTCTTCTTAGTGAATGGGAGACTGGAGGAGGAGAGTGGATTGTTTATAGTTTGGAAGGGGAATCCCCTTCCAGCAACACCTCAGGAACCAATTGCTTTTCTGGGGTTGCTTGTCTTCTCTGTTTATTAATGCCACTAGGACCACCTTGAGAGTCACTGGAGTCCTGTCTCGCAAATTAACTGTGGAGAGAGCTCTGTTTCTGGCATCTCTTTAACACTTCCCTAGAATGGCCCAAGACTTTGTCACTGTACATGTTGCCAACATGGCTTGCAACAACGTTGTTAGGGTGATGTTTCTCCATAAAGCTTTCTATCTTACCCCACATAGTAAAAATCTCTTTAATTTCTGAAGAAGGCACCTTCTTCCATCTCTCTTCCTCCTCCTCTGCAGCAAGATTCTGAGCTGCGATCTGTTGCTCTTCCTGCTGAAGCTCTTGCAGCTCCTCAGTGGTGAACTCTTCGTTGTGGTCTTCCACCAATTCTTCCACATCCTCCAAACTCACATCCAAGCCCATGGAACTCCCCAGTGCCACAATTGATTTTACAACAGACATAGGCTCATCAGGGTCAGTCCCAAACTCTTCAAAATCCCTCTTGTCGACACAATCTGGCCACAATTTTCAATCGCATTTCTCACCTTCTTTACCACAGGCTTGACACTAGGAGCTTTCTTTGGAGCCATGGTAGTTATTTAGTACTTGCAAGCACTAAAATAAATGGAATATTATGAAATATTTCGCTGGAGCACGTGAGGGGACTTTCGCTCACTGGTAAACAATGCCAGACTGGCTGCCACCACGGCTCACGTCGTGGGTACGTGTCCCAGACGAACTACGATTCACGAGTCAACCTATGAAAAGCGAGTCCATGTTTAAACGAAAATACCCCTATGATTGGCGAAATTTACGTTTGCCGAGAACTACGAAAAGCGAGGGACCATTGTATTCGCATTACAGTCAATATTTAAAGCCTCGAAAATATTTCATGTTTTCAACAGTCAAATGACTGAATAATGTGGTGGAACAGGAATTGTGTTCAACTCGAACTGGTGACCTCCACAGTGATGAGGCAAACAGGTTAGGTTAGGTTAGGTTAGGTTTGTCAAGAAACAGAACAAGTGTTTCCTGACGCAGGTCTTAGTCATATGATGACCCTCCACTGGAACTTTTGGTCATCTGACCGAGGCCTTCCTCTGGCTTACCCCTCCACCCCCTTTAAAAGTTAAAGTTATAATTATAACCATTTCTGTATTTACTAAAGAGAGCTTCCTTAGTCCTGGAGAGCGATAAACCCCAAAGAGCGCATCAACTTAGCCTTTTTACAAGACTCCTCAAACCCATGAACAAGCACTTAGGACGTTTTAATGGAAACATTTCCGTCTTAAGACTGAAACGTTTTTGAGAATAAGATCCCAGAACCGAGGTGTTTCCTTTGTAAATTTCCTAAGTATCTGGTATTGTGCTGATAACCACAGGTTGTCTGCATTATATACCAGGTTTTTACCCATGACTACTATTGTCAATTTGTTTACAAAGTAGCAAGTGTCCTCCTGCTTACAAAGTAGTAAGTGTCCTCTTGGTTACAAAGTAGTAAGTGTTTTCTTGGTTACAAAGTAGTAAGTGTCCTCTTGGTTACAAAGTAGCAAGTGTCCTCTTGGTTACAAAGTAACAAGTGTCCTCTTGGTTACAAAGTAACAAGTGTCCTCTTGGTTACAAAGTAGTAAGCGTCCTCTTAGTTACAAAGTAGCAAGCGTCCTCCTGGTTACAAAATAACAAGCGTTTTCTTGGTTACAAGGTAATAAGCGTCCTCTTAGGTACTATGTAATATTTCTTTAAGTAACCTTACATTACCGTGAATATCATTGGATTCTGGGTAATAGTGACTCTTGTCTCATTCTCAGGCGTCCAGATTGTCTTTCCGATTATTATTGTCCTGAGGTTCAAAGACAGCAAGCATTACAGGATCCTTTTGGGGCCACACCCCAGCGTTCGGGCCGAGTCCCAAACGCTGGGAAAGCTCAGGGAGTCTTCCTTCTGTGTCTTCTCTGCTTCTTCTCCAGTGCATTCTGCTCATTACCTTAAACTCCTCATCTTCCACCGTTCTTCTATGTATTGGACAGAAGAAGACAATGACTGGCGAAACGTTTCCAGAATAAAGAGTCCTAAATGTTGCCCAGACGTCTCAATTATCATTTTGTTTCTTATTAACATACTTGTCGGTACAATACCAGTAATATCATAGATGCATGATCTTGTAAGGATACCAGACAGGAGCATATACACCGAGAGGTGCATGCCTCCAGGTGTATATATAACTTGAATTTGCTTTAATCCCTTTTACTGAATGATTAAATTATTATATACTGGTGGCGAATAAGCTATGTGCAACCTTATTGACTCTTGTGTAGTCGATAGGTTTTAAACCCCATTAACTAACCAAGGATACTAATGTTTGGTTGTATTGCAGGTCTATTGAACCACATGGAGCACATGCGCATGGATCCTAAGCACCAGTTCGCGGCGCAGTACGTTCTCTCCCGGGCCGCTGCGGAGCGACGCGAGCGAGAGAGCATCCTTGGCCTTGCTCAAGTTGGTCTTCAGGGTGGCGGCAACCATATGGGTATGGGCATGGGCATGGGCATGGGAATGGGCATGGGAATGGGTATGGGAATGCCACACCAGATGCAGCACCATGCCCAACACCAAGCAGCGCCCATGTCCATGGCTGCCTCGCCGTCCACTCAGAGTGACGCCTCTTCGCGCATGTCGACTCCAGCGGAAAAGCTGGAGAGCGGATTGGGTCGCATGCCGTCGCCCTCCGACGCGCTGCGTTCCATCACCAGCCACCACGACGTTATGAACCAGATGCGCCCGCAGCCCACCGACAACATGCGCGCCATGATCAGCCAGAGTCAGGCGGAACTGGTCAAATCAACACTCACCTCGCAGGCTGAGACGATCCGTTCCGTAATGGCTTCGCAAGCCGAAGCCATCCGTTCACTCTCCAATCCTCACGGCCAACCAGTGCAACCCCCACCCACACAGCAGCAGCAACAACAACAGCAGCAACAGCAGCAGCAACAGCAGCAGCAACAACAACAGCAGCAGCAGCAGCAATCTCACCAGGCTCCAGAGCCCATGGGATCTCCTCAGCCCGACATGCGTGATATGCGTGACCCACGAATGGGTGGGATGGAGTCTGCCCTCCGGAGTGCCCAGGCCGAGGCGGCCCTCCGGCTGGTGAACCACGAAGGGCGCCCCTCCCCGCAGCATCAGGGAGGGGACCTCTCAGACTCCATCCGTCTACAGGAGATGCGAATGGAACAAGCCTTGCGACTCCACGGTGACCCTCGAGCCCTGGCTACCTCCCTGCCCGGCCCCCTGGGGTTCCCTCTGGCGCCCCCCCAACACCAACCTCAGCAGCAGAGCGCCTGAACTTACACCAGCCTGCCCCCAGCCTGGGAGCAACACCCCCCGCCGCCACTCACCCGTACTAGTCCTCCGGTGAACGTGTCATGACTGTGTGTCTGTCTGTCACATCGCCTCGGTTCCACCTTTGTTCTGTTGTGTCGTATTTTTAGCTGTGATAAAATGAAATGGTTCCTTGCAGGAGCTATGTATTAATTTAATGATCACTTCTCTGTGTTAGTTCCTTGAGTTGTTGTTGTTACACGGGGTGACTGAGCGTAGAGGACCTGGGTTGGGCAGGGGGCAATCCTAAGCCTCCAGCCCTGCCAGCCACCGAGGCCCTTAACTCCCACAAGCTCCAAAAGTCACCCTCCCGACAGTTCCTCACAGTTTCTTTAAGTGCAATTTTAGGGACCAGCGGTGTGTGACACTCGATACCTACAGAAAAGGTGAGGTGTTGGGGTGTTTTAACAGGGCAGGCGCTGCTGTATACAATACCTTCATATTGCTTCCATGGCTTGACTTGATTGCAGTCATTGTGTACCTGTAATAAATATTATCTTTATACATTTTAATGCATAATACGGCGCCATTTTCGGTGCATGTTAAGCTTTGCACAGCCGAGTGTAGAAAAATGTTAAAAGGTCCTAATGCAAGCATACAATCAAACAAGATCTTTGTGAAAATAACGAACCTCTCGAATTGTGAGCGGGGTATGACTGCCTCCCGTGACCAGTGAGCCGCCGGCTTCAGTACTGCGTCCCGGATATCTAACAAGAGACCCATTACATGGCCATTTTCCTGAGGCCAGATGTGGCCTTCCCCGGCGCTCACAGTGACTCGAGCTCACTACTTGCGGCTGGGGCAGCAGAACAAGCTCTGATTACCTTATTAACTTATTATAAAAAAATGTGAGAATGACGTCCACTTTCCCTCCACCACATGACGCCTGCATAATTTTGCTGGAATCCTTCATCCCACTCATGTCTGAAGACACGTTCATCTCCTGCTCATACGATAACAAGGTCTTCGAAGAGTGATAGTGTGTGGACCATTACATAGTTTCAAGTTTTCAGATGTTAATTGCTCACTTTCGGAAAATAAAAAATCAGAGTCTGTTAAAGTTTCAGAGCCGAGCAGGTGTGGTACTGCTTTACTGACATTACAAGACTCCAAAGGTACCGTCATTGTTAAATATGTATATTGACCTTAGATCATACGGATCGTACCTACGCGTGTGTAATTATTAAAAGAAATATGTTTATACAGTTCCACATTTTAAGTGTCTAATTTTCTGATTATGATTCATCTGCGCAATATGGTAGTAAGTGTACATGTCCCCTCAAGTAGCTTTGAAGGCAAGAGATGGGTCGCTCTCCAAGCGCCACCTTAGATTTAGACAATATAGCATAGAAATAATGATTCTGGTACTCTTAGCCATAAACTTCAGTGATGTACAGATTGAATAGTAGGATTTTTTATAGCCTCGTGGAGATTTTTGTAATTTTAGCCTTCAAAGCTTCCTGATCACACCGATTGACTGTTGACTGTTCCTGCAATCAGAGTTTACCGTTAAATGCTGCTACTGTTCCCACCACCATTAGTCCTAGAATCAATTAATGTTTGTACACTACCACTACTACTACTACTACGACTGTTACCACTACTACTATTACTACTACTTCTACTACATAGACCGTAGCAATAGATCCGGAACCATAACTTTTCTAGATCCTTTACTAAGATTAGTGTAAATCTAGTTCTAACTACCAACAGTCCCATTCCTCATCCTCATCCTAACCCTTAACTCGACCCTTCCCCAAGTGAACCTCTGAAATCCACCCTCGCCTATCCCTTTTCCTAAGTCCTCGCCTTTTTCCTAAGTCCTCGCCTTTTTCCCCAAGTGCTCGCCTTTTTCCTAAGTCCTAGCCTTTTTCTTAGCTTGAACCCCAGCCTTTTCTTTTACCTGGAATTTACTTCCCCACTGTGTCTATTTTTTGTAATTGGTTAATCATACTTGAGTCGTATCCTTTTCTGGTGGTTTGATTTTACCCCTGACGTCAAATATTAAAATTTTATATTCCTTTGCCATACCTAATGTCAGGTCTATAGTTCTGCGGTTTTATTTCATGTCTTTTGGTCTTTTATGCAAATTAAACACAGATCCGTGTCGCCTAAGGTACTAAATAAGGCCATAGATTCTACGAAAAATTGCAATTTAGAGGACAAAAACAATTTTTATTTGTCTGCGAGTTTATGTAAGAGTTAAGATTGTTTTTGTCCCGTATGAGCTGTTATGTTGTTATTTCCTTTTTTTCTTTTAATTGTTATGACAGAATAAGCATTTTTTGAATTTGTATTTTACATAAAAAAGATAAAAATATCGTGCATGTTTTCTTCCTCTGAGAAAAACATTGCCATTTGATCCGTTTTTATTATCTTTTGCGATTATTTCATCATCACTACCCATCATCATCATTATTATCATTATCATCATTTGTTGCTGTCACTACTGGTGCAAAATTTGAAAAATATATATATGTTTGAGTTGTTGATTATTGTCCAGAACTGTTTTTTTTTTTTATTTTCCCGAGAATTCAAGAAGTCTTTGGACCACCATTTTCAGTTTTCCCACCACCATTATCACCACCACAACCACCACCACTACCACCACCACCACTACCACCACCACCACTGCCGCCACCACTGCCGCCACCGCTACCACCACTACCCCCACCACCAAAATTACCACCATTCTCACCATTACTACCTTTCTCCCCTCCCTGCCACTGCAAACCTACCCACCACCACCACCAATAACATACTGCCTTGCCACTTTTCCCTACTGCCACCACCACCACTACCATTATCACTACTACTACTACTACCCACCACCACCACCACCACCACTACTACCACCACTACCACCACTACCACCACTACCAACGCTACCAGCACCATTTCTGCCACCACCGCTTCCATTCTCCCCGCCTCCGCTACCACCCTCCCCGCAACCACTGCCACCCCCCCCCCGCCACCACTTCCTTCCTCCCCCGCCACCACTTTCATCCTCCCCAACACGCCCATCCTCCCCAACACGCCCATCCTCCCCTTCACTACCACAACAGTCCCTTACAACCCCCTACCACAACCAACCCTCCTTCAAGCCAAACTACCTCCCTCCACCACCGCTCACCGCTACCACCCCCACCTCAGCAACCCCCACCACTACCACAACCCCTCCCCACCACCACAACCCCTCCCCACCACCACCGCTACGCCTCGTTCGAAGTTCCATAGTCTGCCGACAGATCCACCGGTATCAGGAATATTAAACACAAAGGATAATACAAGTTCCTAGTGAATTTTCCTAATCATAAACTTGTCGTTTGAAGCATTTAGAACGCATTATTCTTTGGTTTCTTGGTTGTATCAACTAAATAGCATTGAGGTAAAACTTCGACTATTTGTGTTCGTGCTTATCCAAAACGACTTCTATCCACTGAGTTCATCTTACAAAGCAATTATACAGATATTTATATAAATATATATACATTCTCGGGTCATTCATGTGGACTGGGTAGCCGAGTTCCCAAAGGTTTAATTTTTGTATTGAGGGGTTCTAAGACCCCGGGTAAGGTTGGACGCGGCTACCTGGGGAAAGTAGTATCGGGTCTTACGTGGAAAAAAAAAAGCAAAAGATTATGTTAGAGTACGTAGATCCTTACTCCGTGACGTGGACCAGAGACCTGCTTACCCACAGTACCCTCCCCGTTATCAGGGGATCCACATGGATATCTGCCTCTCCCTTTTTTCCTCGGGGCATACCGAGGAGCTCTCCGCCACACTGTTTACAAAGTTACTGACGTTTCCAGTTTATTTGGCTCACCAATGTCCCTGGAAGTTTGATTTTCGTTAATTTCCGGTTACATCAGCGTTTTTTATCCCCCCTTCCCCAAGTTCCTCCATGTGCCACTCAGCATGCGTTAACACCAACATATCCGATATTAGATGACCCGGCTCACCCAGCTGCCTCAGTAGCGGGGAGCCCCGCCACCCAACAGGTGAAGTCCCGCCCTCTGCCCCGCCGCCACGTACGGGGGCCCTCCTTGCTTCTCCGTGCCCCGCCACTACACTCGGGGGCACACCGACCTCCCCTATGTGCCCCGTTACCTCCCCCTGGCTCCCTCCCCAAGTCGCTTGTGCCCCGAATGTGATCTTCAGAGAAGACGTCAGCAGCGCGGCTGGCCACGTAAGCATAATAGTGACGGCCAGGGTGGCGACTGTGGTGGTGTGGCCACTAAGAGCTGCTCCTCGCCGACTCCCTCACCAGGAACAGGTATCAAAACTGCAGGTAGCAGGACAGACGGGGCGGCCTCAGGGGACCGTAAGTTGTCGCGCCTCCTCTTGGGCGGAGCGCACCGAAGTTGCCTTGCCCATATACCTCACGTAGCCACTGCCGCAGCCGCAGCCTGGCCCACCCCTGAGGCCGCACCCACCCGTTGCACACCCGCAGTCTTCCACACGGACACGCCGTTAGTCTGCAGCGCGCCTGAGCGCAAGCGGACTGTTGGGCTCGACTTACGACCTCGCCAGGTCGTTAAACGAATCAGTGTCCATCAAAATGGCCAAATACGAGTTAAATGTACATTTTAAAATAGTCTAAAAGACATAATAATGCAGACGTCCCAGCCATCTTCTTTGTACTATCGTATGAATTATCAATAAGTAGCGTTCAATAGACTGTTGTTGTCATGTTGTCTTTATAAATTATTAAAGGTCGGGTACATTGTGGGTAGTGCTGCAGTCAGCTGATGTACAATACTTTCGGGCCTGCTCACCCCCGCAGCCCCAACCTTGTTTTTTAAGGTCCTGCTGCACACCCATTGACTCGGTGCCTATCATCAATGTCAGGATGATGCACTGTTATCAACGAGTGAACTGAGCCATGCCAGATGTGTGTGTGTGTGTGTGTGTTGTGTGTGTCTGTGAGTGTGTGTGTAGGAGTGAGGCCAGGAGATGTAGAGCTGAGATCATGGAACAATCCTCCCAGTGCATGTTTCACCTTGCTGATGCTTCAATGGTTTTGTTCCGTTTCTTGTCCTACTGTGTAGTTACAAATGTTCATGTGTTAGATGTAGTGTGGGGAAAAAAATTTGTCAAACTCTGAACCAAGCCCATGTTCGTTCATGGGAATAAACTTGTGATGCTGGTTTGAGGTAACTTGGTTCAAGGGTAAAGCTAGGCCGTGTGAGTTTAGGCAAGCAGGACCACCAGGTGTCGAACACAGAGTCGGGGACCATACTGTACACTCCGGCTCCTAGTTCAACATACCTGCTTAAAAAATTACTATTAATATTAAATTATTATTATTATTATTATTATTATTATTATTATTATTATTATTATTATTATTTGTGTTATTGTTACTATTTTTTAGGAAAAATTATTATAATTGTGATTATTATGTACCTTACCAAGCTTCCCTAAACGGCGCTATCTTAACCTTGGCCCGTGGTACTGAATGTGTAGATAAATACAGTAAATAAAACACTTGTCCAACCGGATGACAGCTGTGTCTCCTTACCCTCTACTCTCTCTCTCTCTCTCTCTCTCTCTCTCTCTCTCTCTCTCTCTCTCTCTCTCTCTCTCTCTCTCTCTCTCACTCTCACTCTCACTCTCTCATCCATGCGAATTTACCGCTTCTTTAATAAGTGGCAAGTCCACATGGAAGTTTTCTCTTGAACCTTCTGCATAATTTCTCACATCTCTCATAAATGAACTTCTCAGAACTGTGAGTACTTTTCTACGAGTACATGTACAAGGTATTTTGCAATATATATATAATTATATATATATATATATATATATATATATATATATATATATATATATATATATATGTATGAGAGTCCCTAGGACAGTTCTAGAGGTGGTACCTCCCTATATATATATATATATATATATATATATATATATATATATTATATATATATATATATATATATATATATATATTTTATATATATAAAATATATATATATTATATATATATAATATATATATATATATATATATATATATATATATATATATATATATATATATATATATATATATATATTGAAAAGGGGTGAGGGTCAACCTGCTTTTTCAGATAAGGTTATATATGAAAGGATTACAAATGCAAGTTGACTTAGACCATGGCTCGGTACAGCTGGTTTGTGCATTTATCACAGCTGGTGAGACAGTATTTAGGGTTACTTTCTGATCTCGATATTGTCTCGTAAAGCCTCAGTGGATGCGCAAACCGCATGCGGCTGTTGAGCTGCGGCTTGGCCATACCCGTGTATATAATTAAGTTTGTATGTCGTTTACAATAACGACAGGATATGTACACTGAGAGGTGTATACCTCTCAGTGTACATATCCTGTGTATATACACAGTGTATACTCAGTGTATATACACTGAGAGCTTTCTTAAAACCCCGTTTAAGGGGTTACAGTATTACTGTGGTAAACAGGTGACGTGTAAACAAACGACGTTGTAATGGCTGTCTCTCCCCACAAACCGTTATTTTTTTTAGACTCCCAACAATTTTAATCCAAAAATGTATAATATTCAGGTACAGGAAAAAAAATATTGAGGGGTTTTTTATCCACAATAGCACTTTGTCAAAATAATAACAAAATGTTCTGGAAACCATTGACCTGAGCTAATTCTAATGAGACTACACTTATATTATGACTATCAGTTAGTTAGCATTAAATCTGGGAGCCAGGTCTATGGAGCTAATTTCCTTAAAATGTATTAACTTTTGAGGAAGTGTCTAAAATGCCATTTGCTGAAGTATTTAACTTCCCTACTTTAATGATAGTCAGATTCCAATAATATTCACTGTCATTTGAGCCGTAGACCTTGTGGGGTGAGGACGTTCCTGACCCACAGATTATACACACCAGAATGCAAATTTCTCTGGATATTTACGCCAGTGTATGTGTGTCCAAACACACCGAGAGTTTTTACTTTTATCTCTAGTGATTAAAATATTCTTGACTGGTGGTGAGCAGGTTAACCACTACGTAAACGACCCTCACATCGTCAATAAGTTTACCAACTTCTACCTGACGGTGTTGTTCAGTGATGTCAACGTCTAGATTCCGACGTGTCCTGTGTGTCCAGGAAGCTTACTCAGGTATCTATATAATCTCTCAAAGTTCTTTAAACCCTGTTATAGAAATTATACTTGTCAGGGGAGAGGTGAGTTGCTACCTGAGTGACTCGTCGACGAGTCACAGTGTGACTTTGTCAATGGTCCAAGTCGGACCGAAACGTCGTCGTAAGCTTCTCTCTTTTATGTGCGGGTTATTTGTGTATCGTTCCAGTCACGGTATTGTGCCTTTATGTTATTTATAACAACCTGGTTGTTGATTACAAGGTCCAGGTGCTGGTGATGGGCTCTTGATCCAGGAATTGGAGTTCCCCCCTTTCATTATCCAGTCGATGTATGGTAACTGTGGGTTCAGCTTTCCGTGAATATAATAAACATCTTGTTTTCGGGCAGTGCGATAGCTAAGTGTGTTATCCCGGTATCCACTAAGCCCAGCCCTCTCTACTTCGATGCAACCCCCCCCCCCATCAAAAGTGGTTTCTTGATGTGATGCCGGTGAAGGGCTCTTGATCTAGGAAATTGGATCTGTGCTCCAAATCCCTAAATTAAGTCTGAATGCCTTCCATCCCCCTCCCCACAGACGCTGTATAATCCCTACTGGTTTAGCGCTCCTCGTAGTAATAATAATAATAATAATAATAATAATAATCTGTGCAAACAAAATGAACCAGTACAGTGTATGGCGTATGTTTCTAATGCAATTAAATATCAGCGTTGAAGGTTTGAAGCCACTCGGAAGAGGCATTAACAAGTTATTATATGGGAATTAATATTCTGATTTATTCAGTCAAAATGGAAAATTGGCACCTATACACCCAAAGCCAATTTGAATGTTCCTCAAAGCAACGCAGCTTTGTAAGTTTCAAGCCAATCGGGGGGGGCATTCTCTAGTTATCGTTCATAAACCAGCACTTTAAATTTTTTTAAGCTTAACAGAAGTTGCGTTATCAGTTTATTGGCGCTCAGGGTATGTAATCGATCGGATGAGGCATTCACAAATATCCGCATGACGACCAGTATTCGAAATTTCCAGTTTTCGTGAATAAAATGGGCAAATCGGCGCCTCCCCGGCCTAAAATTAAAATCTGTTAGGTACACTTGTATTCAGTGTGTCAAGCACAGGACGAACATCGTCCAGTTGTCGAACAGAAATAAATTTGCTTCCAAAAACTGCCAAAAGTCGCACAACCCCAAATCAGTGCCAAGTTTCTGTCGAGAAACAACCCGTGAGCGCTAAAAGTTTGAAGCCGGTCAGAAAATGCATTCTCCAGTTTTCGCTCAGAATTGAACAATTCATTAAGTATCCCTGAAGGAAGACATCTAAATGACTAGCTGATTTTTTTTTCCTTTCTTATTCTTTTTTTTTTTATTCCGTTCACAACACCACGCCTCATCTGAGTGAGGACGCGAGTGAGGACGCGAGATGAACCATGTTCTAGTGCACCACTAGTCAGGACTCGCGTTAGGGGACCTTTAGAAGTTCTTCAAGTTCTCTGAGGTTAAATATCAAAGTTTTCAAGTTCTCTGGGGGTGAATATCAAAGTTTTTTATTACCTTACAAAATCATATCACGTCTGAGTACATTATCGAATATTTAAAAGTTTGCAACTATTTTTAAGGGGAAATATAATTGTTTGGGAGTTGTTTATATCAAAAAATTTGCCGTATCCACTACATTATTTTTTTTATACACATTGGCCGTCTCCCACCAAGGTCGGGTAACCCGAAAAAAAAAGAAACACTTTCTCCATCGTTCACTCCATCACTGTCTTGCCAGAGGCGCGCCGATACCACAGCTCAGATGCTCCTTCAAACTACAAATATCCCTTTTTCTCCTTCAGAGTGCAGGTACTGTACATCCCACCTGCAGGACTCAAGTCCGGCTAACCGATTTCCCAGAATCCCTTCATAAATGTTACTTTGCTCACACTCCAATAGTACGTCAAGTTATAAAAACCATTTGCCTCCATTCCAATCTAAAACGCTCACATTCACCTGTTGAATGTCCATGCCCCTCGCATACAAAACCTCCTGGATGTCCAAGCCCCTCGCATACAAAACCTCCTTTACCTCCTCCCTCCAACTTTTCCTAGGGCGACCCCTACCCCACCTTCCCTCCATTACAAATTTACACACCCTCCAAGTCACCCTGTTTTGGGCCATCTTCTCTAAATGCCCAAGCCACCTCAACCCCTCCCCAACCCTCTGGATAATACTTTTAGTAACCCCCTAAGATACGATTTCTTTGCATTATATTCACACCAGATATTGCCCTCAGACACATCACTGCCTCCTGCCTCCTCTTCGCTGCAACATTCACCACCCATGCTTCACACCCACATTAAGAATGTTAGTACCACTACACTCTTATACATTCTCATTTGTTGTCATCACAGATGCCTCAGTATACATTTTCCCTAGTTCTTTACATCAGAATATCAACTTTTGGGTTTTTTATGGCCAAGACAATCGTCGCTGTAATTGTCAGGGGTTATGTTGGGGTGTGTGACTTTAACTCGTACTCAGCATCATAGTCATAAACATAACCTTGTCATTGCCATAGGTTGAAAGTTTGAAGCTTGTCGAAAGAAGCGTACTCAAGTTACCGCTCATAACCCTGCAGGAAAATGGGAAAAAATCTGCCAGCAACTACAGCCAAACATAACACAGTACTAACGTATTGTGAGTCTGTCTACACAGCAGTGTTTTAGTGCTGTGCAATGTTAGTCTGCGTCTGCCTACACAACAGTGTTATAATGCTGTGCAATGTTAGTCTGCGTCTGCCTACACAACAGTGTTATAATGCTGTGCAATGTTAGTCTGCGTCTGCCTACACAACAGTGTTATAATGCTGTGCAATGTTAGTCTGCGTCTGCCTACACAGCAGTGTTATAATGTTGTGCAATGTTAGTCTGCGTCTGCCTACACAGCAGTCATGCACATTCGTTAAACGGCTTTTTTTTGAGAAAGCTTTGATGATTTTTGTTCCTACTAATAGAGCATTTTGTCATTGAAAGCCTCTCCAAAAGACCCCAACAAAATTTACTTCCCTCTCCCCCTTAAAAGTGAAAAAATGGACTAGCAGTTACGGATAATCAATACTGGCTGGTTTAGCGAGGTTTTCTCTATAATAAATCCTCGGGCTTGGTAGGACCTAGGCAGGGCTAGTGACCATGAAAAACAAATCATTTACATGCAGCGTATTGGTACACCTTGAAATATAGCCGCAAAACCTCCCAGTTTGTGGCTTTGTTCATACTGAGATTTTTGTTCAGTGTTGCAAGGCTACTCTGTGTTGACATTGGCGTGCTCTCAAATATTTCATGTACTTCGTATTTTTCTCTGGAAAAAAAGGCTCTGATTTTACTTACTCTTACTTTTTTCCAGTTTGGGTT